ACGCACTTCTGTTTTTTGTAAAAAAGGGCCTGTTGAGCATTGAGCAGCATAGTACGCACTTTATCTCTGCCACTGTGAAATAGTACGCTCCTTTTTTGGTTCCTAGACAATTGTTCTTACTAGAGGTGGAATAATGGCAGCAGTGATTTTGCCGCAATTAGACAGTAATCGCAAAGACCAAATACTGTTTTTCTCACATACTGACTGCACAAACACTGGCATTATACAAAAATAAGCACAAAAGCGATTTCTCATCAGGGTTTTCATTTTTAGCAGGACTGCGTCTGATTTGAGCTTGACGTCAGTTAGTTTGAGTTCAGAAAGGCCCACAGACCATAAGCGATCAGTGGTTTGGGCGACAAAAGGTGAACATTTGCTCTCGGTGTGAACAGAGGGTTAATCCTGAAATAATCATTCAAAATCAGAGGCATCAGGTCAGCTTTTGCGGGAGATTTCCAGTCCATGTTGTACGTCTTTATGTATTAAAGTAGCCTGTGCAGACTCTAAAAGAAGGTCCAGCGCGATGTTTAGGTCTCACATGGGTAAGGCCTGGGTAAGCAACCTACACTATACCAATAAGAGTCCTTAGGCAAGACTCCTAACACTACCTTCCATGACCAAATTGTAAGTCACTCTGGATAAGAGTGTCTGCCAAATGCCATAAATGTAAATGTAAACATGCAAAATCAACATTATACTGATAAAGATATGATGACAATAGTAGATAATTCATTCAAATCACCAGGAGACACGTCTTTCGCCAAGACCGAGTTCTCTTTGAATTCTCGTTCAACACACAATCATCAGACTCATCCACTCAGGGAAGGGGTCCAAAGCACAACCCGTGTCACAAAACAAATCTTCTGTTCATTGCATGCAGTTACAGACTTCCATCTGAGAGGGCTCCAAATCCCCAAATCTTACACAGTGTAGGTTTACAATTTACTTGAGTTACTTTCATCACTTTTGATTGGATATTTCTCATTCTATTCACAGTCTAATTGTACTCAATTAGAAATACTATAATGTGCAGTACTGTGCAGAAGTCTTAGGTATCTGAGAAGCCATTGTTTGGGCAGTAAACATCTATTTGTTAAAAAAAAAGAGGTCAATTCCAGTACTAGTGATTACCATACATTTATCCAATCAATCCTTCATGAAATTAAATCAGGTGATGGAATTGAACAAATGCATGCAATGTGCAGTGAGGACCCAAACTTGTGCTCTTCTAACTGTATTCTTCTAACCAACATATTAATAACTTTTTTAAAACCCTAAAAATCTTGTATTTATCATTTTAAATATTTTCCTTCTCCGTCTCTTAACCCCCTTCTTAACCTCTAAAGGCCTGTATGAGGGCCTACACTCCACTCACAACTACAGAACCTACATTTCATAGCAGTTACTGTATAATTTATAGTTGTCAGAGTAAAGTAAGCTTTAATATTAATAACTGAACACTAAACATGCAGTTTAAGGGCTTCATATTAAGTGAGGACAGAGCTCGTACAGCCTATGCAGAAAACGTCCAGTGCCATATCCATTCTAAGCACAGACAGCAGACAGTAGATCTGCTCTGGAAACTCCGCTGGAGTGGACAGCGCCACAATACGCCTCTCTGTCATGTAGGGTGAGTTTGGCTGGCAGACCACAAACCCCCAGTGTTGAATTCACTCTTAAAGTGTTTATTTGTTTCCAGCTGGACTTAAATGACCCACGCTGGAGATTCTGCTTTGTATCAGAACGCTCTAACAGACCGAGAGTCCGATTGTGGCGCTGTTCTCTCCAGTGGTGCTGAAATTGGGGTTTCCAATGGGGATCCAGCATCACTGCTCTGATCTCATCAGTTCCACCCGTTCTTGTCATTTGGGTTGGGTGTTGGGTGTTTGTTTCGAAGGTTGCAATACAAACATTACAATAAAAGTACTGCAGGTTTAGTGGGTCCTGTGTCCTCTGTGTCTAGACCTGGATTAGCAACACAAATGCCAATTTAACACTTTAGATGTGAAAATCAGCAGTTTGGGTATGGATTCAACACCGTAGCTGTTAATCCAGCTTTTTCTATGTTAATTATATAACAATAGTTGTAAATCAATTAGTTTAGGTGTTATTTCAACTCTCTGGGCATAAATTCAATATTACAGGCACACATTAATGAGTTTTTGCTATGTTAATTCTACATTATTGGCATGAATTAACCAGTTTAGGTGTTATTTCAACATTTTCAGTGTTAACCCTCTACTGCACAAATTATGAGAGCAATTAAAAAAATATCCATTTACTTTTCCTGCATAAAATCCTTGATTGATTTTTTGGACCTGATTATTACATTCAAGAACATTAAAAAAATAAATAATAATAGTGTGTGCAGGGGTCCTTTTGGAGTATGTTGTCTTGAGGCAACATTGTGCGTCAATGGGTGAAATAATATAGAGCTGTGTTCCCTGAAAAGGTTACACCTGGTTTGCGACTGGCTAAATCCATTCCACTGTCGCACAATGTTGCTTCTAGACAACAAACATATTTGTGCAAAATCTCATAACAAACAAACTGATACTCAATGTTTAAAAAAAGATTTAAGTGCCCACTAAGAGACAGTAAGGCCAATTTATTGACTTACTCAAACTCTTCCCTTTATTGTTAACCCTATCGTTGTCTTCAAATATGTATAATGTTATTGTAAAGTGAGGAAAATTAGTTTGTTGCCCTGAGGCAACATTGTGCGATAGAGGGTTAAATCAATATTATAGTTGTAAACTAATCAGTTTAGGTGTTGATTCAAGTCTTTTGGTGTTGATTTAATAACATTGCTGTAAATTAGCCAGGTTAGTCGTTTAATTATGCGTTTAAGCACCCATATCCTGCATTTTTTTGCATTTTATTTTTTCCACTTATGCCTGCTTATAAAGTTTGTATGGTTTTATGTACCAAAAACAGCCATGATTCAGTCTTACCACCTCTCTTTATCACTTAACATGAAACATTTTGCTTTCTGTTATATGTTAATATGCTCTGTTCTGATTGGCTGCCCTGTATTTCAAATCATTCAAAAGGCAGTCAAGGCTGAAACTCTCATTGCTGGCCATAATATTGGAATAATTTGAGCTGCTTTCTTGTTGGCTACTCACAGTGTGTCTGCAATAATTACCAAGATATAATTACTGAATTGGTAAAAAAGTTGGTAAAGTACAAGACATGATGTCCTTTAAAGTTACTCAGAAGTCCTGTTTGAAGCAGTAAGCAGATATAGCAGCGTTTTGCCAGGAGGCAAAACCCCCTGTGGGGGTTTCCTGTCCCCATATGTCCCACAACACCACCAGCTTGTGACTGGTCACTTTGTGTGCCTGAGAAAATAGGCCTTTCCTGTCAAAGTAGGCAGCTTTAGCTATGCTAAGTGACGAAAGCTACAGTACATGAATATGTAAATACTTAAATAAATTAATTTTTAATTGAATTAAATAACTGAACACTAAAGGTTTTGATTCAAAACTTCACCCATTTACTCAACCCCTTTAGGTTGTAATTGAGCCCTGTAGGCATTAACTTAGCCCCATCAGCATTAATTCAGCCTTGTAGGTATTAACTCAGCCCTTTGGGTGTTCCCTCCGCCTCATAGGTGTTAGATCAGCCCTGTAGGTGTTAGTTCATCCTTGTAGGCATTAATGCAGCTTTGTCTATGTTCATTCAGCCCTATAGGTGTTATTTATGCCCTGTAGGTGTTAACTCAGCCCGCAGGTCTTAATTTGGCCCAGTAGGTGTTAACTCTGCCTTGTAGGTGTCAATACAGCACTGTAGGTATTAACTCAGCCTCATAAGAGTTAGATCAGCCCTGTAGGTGTTAATTCATCATTGTAAGCATTAAATCAGCTTTGTCTATGTTAATTCAGCCCTGTAGGTGTTAATTAGGTCCTGTAGATGTTAACTCAGCCCCATAGGTCTTAATTTGGCCCAGTAGTGTGTTAACTCTGCTTTGTAGGTGTTAATTCAGCACTGTAGGTATTAACTGAGCCTCATAAGTGTTAGATCAGCCATGTAGGTGTTAATTCAACCTTATAGGCATTACATCAGCTTCGTCTATGTTAATTCAGCCTATAGGTGTTGACTCAGCCCTGTAGGTGTTAATTAGGCCCTGTAGGTAGTAATTCAGCCCTGTAGGTCTTAATTTGGCCCAGTAGGTGTTAACTGTGCCTTGTAGGTGTTAATTCAGCCTTGTAGGTATTAATTCAGATCTGTAGGCATTAACTCAGCCCCATGGGTGTTAATTCAGCCCTGCAGGTGTTAATTAGGCCCTGTAGGTGTTAACTCAGCCCCTTAGGTTTTAATTTGGCCCAATACGTGTTAACTCTGCCTTGTAGGTATTAATTCAGATCTGTAGGTATCAACTCAGCCCTGTAGGTGTTAATTTGACCCTGTAGGCGATAACTCGTCCTGTCTGTGTTAATTCAGCCCTATCGGTGTTAACTCAGCCCTGTGGGTGTTCATTCAAACCTGAAAGTATTACTTCAGCCCTGCAGGTGTGAATTCAGTCCTGTGGGTGTTAAATCAGCCCTGTAGGTGTTAATGTTGCTAACTGAGCTCTGTAGGGTTAGGGTCAACACTGTAGTAACTAACTGAACCTTACAGGTGTTAATTCATCCTTATAAGTATTTATTATGATAAATAATTCAGGTGTTTAAAATTGAATCAGCGTTTTTAAGTGAACAATTTAGGACAGTGATTCACATCTTTTGGTGTTGAGTCAATCATGTAGATACTAATTCAACACTTCATCTCCTCAGTCAACAATACTTCTTGTTAATTCAATACTGTATATATGTTTATTCTACTGTACTCTAACTGGGAGCTTCCTTGTGGCGCTGTCCACTCCTCTGGGGTGCTGAACTTAAGTTCCCAACGAGGGGGCTTCAACAGCGGTGGTCGTTTCCACCACAGAATCGGCCAAATAAAGGAAAAAACAACGAAAGAAAAGAAAAAGACACCAGAAAAACTACAAAACGTACCGTTCTCCAGAGTTTCTGCGTTTTGACCGTGACGGACGTGGCGGTCACCGTCGTGTGCGAAACGGCCACCACGATCCCGAACACCACGGCCAGCAGCGTCCGCACGGGCAGCAGCGCGTAGGCCACGAAGGTGACGAGCATGAGCTGCCAGACGCCGTGCTCGGGCGCGGGGGGCGGCTCGGCGCTGCCGGGCGCGATGCGCGGAAACGGGCAGCAGGGCAGCGAGAAGGTGAAGCTGAAGAGAAGCGCGAGATGCGCGATCTGCTGCAGCTGCGCCGCGCGCAGGTACTTAACGTTGGTGACGACGAAGAGTGAGGCGAAGACCACGCCGTGCACCGGGTGCGAGGCGCGCGCCACCGTCGCCGAGCTTCCTCCTCCTCCTCCTCCTCCCGCCGCTCCCGCTCCGCTGCCGGAGAGCAGCTCGAGCGCCGCGAGCGCGCAGGACAGCGCCACGAGCACGGCGAGCGCCTTGAGCGTGGCGGTCTGCTCGAGCTTCAGGCCGTAGCCGCGGAAGAGCGCCTCGAGCTCCTTGCAGTCGAACTCGTCCTCGCACGCGATGGCCGGGAGCGGCACGCCGCGCGGGCACCGGCTCCTCTTCCGCCGCGTTTTGACTCTCCGGAACGGAGCCTCCTCCTCCATGGCACGGCCATCCACACCCGGCGAGCAGGGGGGAGGTGACGGGGGTCCTTCAGGAGCTCGCGGGCGTCCCGGAGCTCGCGCGCGCGAGCTATCTGCAGCAGGACGGAGGATCCCGTGGAAGGAGAACGCGCATAACAGCCGCGCGCGCCTGCGGGAGAAGAGCGAAAGAGAGTGCAGCGCGTGCAGGGCTGTGTGTGCTCGACTCGGCTCGGCTCGCGTCCGTGAGCGCGCGGAGACTCCTCGTGTGTGTGACAGAAAGACTGAGAGACTCGCGCTCGCGCGGCTCAGACCGGATCACGCGTGCGCAGTGTGTGATGTGGATAATTCGGGAGATTGACGAGGAGGGGCACACGCACGCACGCACGCGCACAAATGCGATTTGAAAGTTTGCAATCGCTGTTTTCATTAAAGGGGAACTCCACCCGTTTTTTTTTCAAAATGTCTGCACAGTTTAATGACTAAGACGCAAACAGTCGTTCAGAGTGGTGTGATTTGTTCACAGTGGTGGTGATAGGAATCTCATAAATGGTTCTGAAACACTGTTTTATGATAGTTTTGAGTTTGGTTGAAGGTTTTGGTCTATTTCTTAAACCCTTTAACGGTGGAGAGGTGCATGCAAGGTTTTATGCGGCAAAACAGCCCCAAAAGAAAATGCATGCTTTTCAGATTTTTCACTATTTTTTCCATCAACGTTACACATAAACTCAGAAGACATGCGTAGGTTCACTGGAGGTTTGGATAGTAAATAACGTGATGTGTTTTGGCTTTTTGATGGGTTAATATCACAGTGTGAAGGATCTTATTAGTTTAACAGGTGAGCAATGGCTGATTCCAAATACATTCGATAGTTTCTCAATAGGCTCTAAAGGTGTTCTACAGGAAACTAGTGGTCACTATTGGAAACGATTAAGCCAATTCCCTTTAGAAGGCAAAACCACTACGATTTCATCCTAATGGTTTATAATCCTCCTATGTCAGCAGGGTCGAGTTGTAGACATTGTGACCCCTGGTTCCATTCACCATCACTATAAAGAAATCCGAGTCTACGTTTCTCTACAACGAACCACTTCACACCAAACCACTCTGAATCATCTCAATCACTGGACCATGCAGACATCTTCTAAAAAGATGGTGGATTCCCCCTTTAATATAAAGGATTTGGTGCAGATGGGCTTCATGTCTCAAATTGTTTTTAGTAAGATGCTCCACAGAATTCAGCTCATAAGATGGTGTAAATAGAAATGAATGGAGTCTTAGGCCCAATCCCAATTACTTCATTAACAGACTACTAGCGCTGCTCTGTAGGCGACCCTGCCCGTCTTCAGTGATAGCAGAGGAGGGTAAAGTTCAGCTCCTCACTGCTGGGCTTTAGTGACATTTAGGGCATCATTTGCCTTCAAAGAGGGGGACAATTATTTATTATCGCCCACCCCTAATTCTTCAGTGATATGAAACTGAAGTCAGATATTCACCAGCTTCTTGTTCTCATTTTCCCGTTCCACCTTAAATAATGCATCAGTTACATTCCGGCGTTTCAGGCATCAGAACTGCTGGAATATTTAAGGTGGAACGGGAAAGTTAGCTAACTAGCTACCGAAACATTAGCATGCTATTTATGCTTGTTATGAGGAAAAGGATCATAATACATTAAAATGACATTAAACTAAGAAAATACAGTTGTTATCATAATTTTTAACAGAGAAAATTCTCACATTTGTGTATTTCTTTGGTCTCTTGTTCAGCCATCTTGACGGTTTTTCGTTTTTTCTCACAACACTCCATTTGGAGTCTCTGAAAAACCTCCGTTTGGAGGGCCGTGTAGCCCCAACACTTCGCCCTACACCTCTATCCCAACAAGAACTGGGACACCCTACCCCTAAGTGGTAGGGGCGAGGGGTGAAATGGGATTGGGCCTTAGAAGTGTCCACAAAGATGACCAGAGATATAGAGGGTTCTACAATGACTGACAGAGATGCAGAACATTGAAAACTGTAGAACACTGAACTTATAATAAAAATACTATCCAGAATGTCTCACATTTGAAAATTGTGATCAAATCTCAGCCAGATAACCTATCAAGTAAAAAATCATGCTTATTTTAGATTTATCATGTAATACGTTTCAGAAAACTTGAAATATTGAATAAAACAATTAAACCCTTGTGTGGTGTTGATGTGTTTGTTGCTCAGTGGTCTGGTTGACCCACCACATTATTGTTTTCTTTAAATAAATACAGCGTAACAATTTATGTAAAAGTACCAGATGTTGAAAATATCATAAGTGATCAGCGTAGGGTTCTCCTTTAGCAGCTGTAGCCAGTCACCACCAAAGGGAAAAAATACCTTCAAAGTGTCACAGTAACACTGTTTAAGGGACATTCTGGCCTAAATAACTGTTGTAAACATGCCCGCTCACCTCCAGTCCACAGTAGTCATGTGACATTTTACACTGTTAAAAATGAGAAGTCAGCTCGACAAAGAATTAATATAAATAAATAACATATTAAATGCTAAATAACATCAATTATTAATGTGACAAGTGGTTCCAAACTTGAACGGTACACAGACATATTCACATCAACATGGTTTGTAGTTGTAATTTTGTTCTACATGCTGAAAACTGATCATCACAAGCTGATGTAAGTGACTCATAGTAGAAATAACTGCTTTAATCCACCTTCCTTTAAATTGCTTCCTGTGATTCAGCCATTAAGGACCATTAAGTGACACAGAGATGTCGGCCATTTGTTCTTTAGTGGCATCAGCTCAGCGCTGTTCCTTTCAAACAGTACTTAATCATCATATAAACATCTTAAAAATGAGAGAGCATAGATCTTTAATAACAGGCCCACTACCTCAAATATCATTCACATTATATAATGTCCACTATGGAGCCCTGCTGGTGACATAATGCTTGGCATTACGCGTGGGAACAAGATTCTAATGCATGGCCATGACTTAGTAAGGTGTGGGAACGAGATCATAATGCGTGGCCATGACTTAGTAAGGTGTGGGAACAAGATCATAATGCGTGGCTATGACTTAGTAAGGCATGGCAACAAGATTGTGGATGTAGAAAGACGTGGGAACAAGATTCAAATGCGTGGCCATGACTTACTAAGGTGTGGGAACAAGATCGCAATGTGTGGCCATGACTTAGTAAGGCGTGGGAATGAGATCATAGTGCATGGCCATGACTTGGCAAAGTGTGGGAATGAGATCATAATGCGTGGCCATGACTTAGTAAGGCATGGGAATGAGATCGTAATGTGTAGCCATGACTTAGTAAGGTGTGGGAACAAGATCGTAATGCATGGCCATGACTTAGTAAGGCATGGGAATGAGATCATGCCTTATTAAGCTGTGATCAAGCCTTGATTATTTCATTCCCACACCTTCCTAAGTTGTGGCCACGCATTAGGGTCTCATTTCTAGACTTCACTAAGTCATGGTCACAACTTAATTATCTCGTTCCCACGCCTTACTAAGTCATGGCAATGCATTATTTTTACAATATAATGACTAGTATAATGTCATATAGATATAATATACAGTGCATATATTACACACATACATGATATATAATGTTTAATATCTTTTAAAAACAGCTTGTTTGGTCTGTAACTGTTGTTGAACTGCGGGTTAAACTACAGTCAGCAGCCAAAGAAAACATGATATCCTGACAGTGATGTTGTAGTGAAAGACGAGAGGAAGTGAAGTATTGTTGGGAAGCGGTGATCTCGCTGTCTGCTCTCTCTTTCTCACCAGAGTATTAGTCTGGGAATTTCACCTCCACTCAGGTGACTCATTTAAAACATGCCATAAATAATCACTGCTCTTCAAAAGGTGTGAAATATGGAGCGTCAGGGACAGAGAGAGAGAGACAGAGAGAGAGAGAGAGAGAGAGGGAAGACAGAGAGAAAACAGAGAGAGAGAGAGAAAGGGAAGACAGAAAGAAAACAGAGAGAGAAAGGGGGGGAGACAGAGAGAAAAAAGAGAGTTTTTGAAATATGTATTTCTTTTTACTTTAAATATAGAAGGAGGGAAAGAAAGAAGATGTAGAGTCTGAGTACAGGAAAGAGTATGAAAGACAGAGAAAAAGAGATAGAGAGGGAAGACAGAGAAAACAGGGAGAGAGACGGGAAAGAGAGAAACAGAGAGAGTGAGAGAGAAAGAGAGGGAGGACAGAGAAAACAGAGAGAGAGAGAGAGAGAGAGACAGGGAGAGGGGGATTAAAATATGTATTTTTTCTGCTTCAAATATAGAAGGAGGGAGAGAGAAAAGATGTAGAGGCTGAGTGCGCGAAAGAGTATGGAACACAGAGAGATAGAGAGAGATAGAAAACAGAAAGAGGGGGCAGAAAGAGAGAAACATTAGAAGCACAGGGAAATAGAGAGAGACAGACAGAGAAGAGAAAGCAAGAGAGAAAGAACAGAGAGAGATTGGGAGAGAGAGAGAGAGAGAGAGAGAGAGAGAGAGAGAGAGAGAAGAGAGTGTGTAAATGATAAAAAGTCTCTACAAAGTCTAAAAAGAAAGAGAAACAAAGGCAGGGAGAGAAAGACAGAGAGAAGTGTAGAGAGAGAGAGCGAGATAGAGAGAGAGAGAGAGAGAGAGAGAGAGAGAGAGAGAGAGAAAGAGAGAGAGAGACTTTTCAGTTTAACAGTTCTGTATATAGGGCCGGATGTAGGGCTGGGGCCGCAGGGCCACTGTCCCCAGTAAAATTCTGATTGGCCCTTTAAGCACCGCTCTCCTGTCACCACCTCCAGCAGCTCACTCTGAGTGATGAATTCGCCGTTTACGTGAATCAAATAGTTTTACTTTTACTTTTTAAAATAGTTTTTAAATAAATGTTTTTGGTCTCTGTTGTCAGGAAGGAGGGTTCTGAAGAGGAATCCTCGTCCCCAGAAGCAGATCACTGTCTTTACTGTATAGATATTTATTTGCTGATTTTTTATTTCATAAAATATTATAAATTGAATGTTTCAGGACTGGATAACATTAACATAGCTAACTCAGTGGAACTCAGTGCTGTAGTGATACTGATAAATGAAACCTGTGTTGAACAGAACATGAAAAGAAGCAGTGACTTTTTTTGCACATATTCATTTTTTTTTCTTTAATTGCATTTGAACAGTAGGTGCAAAAAGGCATAATGTGTAAACTGTCATTGCTTGCAACCAACACAATCAGCTACAACTATGTTTTTGGCAGAAATGAATGTAGAATGTGTTAATAACTGTTATGAGAGCTAAGAGACCGGTGACACAATGCAAGCTGCAATCATCGGGGTCCAAGCACATTTGGAGCCAGTACAGGCTTTCAGCAGACAGAACACAAATGACTGGCAGAGGTTTTAGAAAGGCCTCTATTTAAAATGATTATTGAGGAGGGATCTCAAAAGGAGATGTTGACCAAATTTCATACACACTGACCTTTTGATCTTGGTGTGATAAGCAATAGGTTTTTAACAAGTCAAAATACCTGGAAAGCAGTACAAGCTTCCAAGTATTCAGAGCCCCTCTACAGGGGGTTGGCACCTTTTTTACTGCTCACGAGTTTGCACATCTGAATATGGCACAGCTATGCCTTATTAATGCATGGGAACGAGATCTTAATGCAGGGCCACAATTTAGTAAGGCGTGGGAATGAGATAATCAAGTCGTGACCCTCAGTTAGTAAGGTGTGGGAATGAGATCATGCCTTACTAAGTCATAGCCATGCATTAGGATCTCGTTCCCACACCTTACTAAGTCGTGGCCATGCATTAGGATCTCATTCCCATGCCTTACTAAGCCGTGGCCATGACTTAATTATCTTGATCCCATGCCTTACTAAGTCATGGCCAGGCATTATTTTTATTAATACAGGATGTCACCAATGGGGCTCCATAGATTACAGATTTTCCCAGGTCATATATGGAATAAGCTATATCAGTAGTGTAGCTGAAGGGTTATCTTTACAGCACATATATTTATGAATATATTTATTTATTCAAATTTGGATAAATTTCAATTATTCGAATTTGGAAGCATTTTTTGCCCACTGAGCACAAACTGTGGCCCCATTATGTCCCCCACCTAAACACATCCTAGAACAGCCACCGACTGTATATAATTTCTTGAAATATTGAATAAAACAAAAACATCTTTTGCCTGCTCTCTAAGATTTAAATCTACATTGTAGAAGTTATTATTTCATGTAAAATAACACAAATTATTAATATTCTAAGTGACTTTTGATGCATTTGAACTGAAAAGAGCGTCAGTGATGAATGTCGGTCAAAAGCTCTGACTGTGATGATTCTGACTGATTTGTTTTGGGCTTGTGGATGTTTTTAGACCAAAAAATCCTTCCCCTCCACCCCCTTAAGCTGTTAAATTTAGATATCAAATTCTCCCCTTTGGGCAGAGAGAGAGAGAGAAAAGAGAGAGAGAGAGAGAGAGAGAGAGAGAGAGAGAGAGAGAGAGAATGTTTGATTCTATTTTGGTTCACAGAAAAAGACAGCCGTCACAGCTATAAAAGAGAGCGCCATTGCATAAGCGCTGCCAGTCGCTCACCCTCTCTTTTTTTTTTTGTACATGTAGAAACCGAATCCAGCAAAAGCAGCTCATAGTGCTGTAGTAAATGTGTGACAGGAACAGGTTAGAAGCCCTAAATAGGACACAAACTCCATAACCATTACATTACAGTACTAAAAGACTACACTGTCTGGGCTGCACGGTTTGTGCTTCTACTACATGCAGTCAAACAGAACGTAAAGGAGCAATCCAGCATTTCTCAATGTAATCTCAATGTGCCGTGTCTGTACAGTCAGTTACCACAGACTATGATTTGAGGACACTTTCTTTGTAGCTAGAAAAGCTGAAGCAAAAGCCCACTGACTTCTATTTCATATAAGATTGCAGTCACAGGGAAATGTGTCAAAATCAGTAGCCACATTTACATGCAGCCTAATAATCCATTAATAATCTAAATAATAGCTCAATCAGATTAGAATATTTTCTATAATCTATGTAAACACCTCAATCGGAGTAGACTAGTCCCATTGAGGCCATTCGGAACACAGTTTCTATCTGATTGAATGAGGTGGGTAATCCTGTAAATAATCCATTAAATAGAAGAATAATATCCATATAAATGCCTGTATCTGATTACATTCCCTATCGGAAAGCTTAAGTACGTTCTGATCATGTGTGACGCATCATAGCATAAGTTTATAAAGTTCAACATGGCGGAGCAGAAACTGGTCTGCAGAGTAGACAAAGTTTATGCTCTGAGCTTTAAAAGACGGCGGTGGGACGGACGTCCATCTTCTGTGTCTCAGATCACGACATCTTCTTCTTGGCCTTCTTTAATAAGGACATATGAAGGACGTTTTCCTGAGTCTGACATCATTTTAAAACAGCTAAAACACAAGCGCTGCTCACTGCTGCTCATCTCACTCTGACTGGACTCACGTGATGCTCGTTGTCATGCTAACATCTACACTAAGTGGTTCTCTACGCATGCACATAAATTTGGATCAGATTACTTGTAGTGTGGATGTAAACAGAGATTTTCCTTCAGATTGTTGAGTAGAGTGATCTCATAAACACCTCAGTCTTAATCTATAATCTGAATGTATTCAATCGAATTGGCAAAAATCTTTGCATGTAAATACAGCCATTATCTGTGGTAATCCAATGTATGCTACAGTGGTTGATAACACTAAAAAGCACTGCATTTGTACTACACAGTTGGTTAAAGAGACACTGCAGCCTAAATGAAAAATGTAACCAGCACTACGTCTGTTGTAAACATACTTGTTTGTAGTAGTCTAGAGAGTGTGATTTTCCTGTTTAAAGACTAGGAAAACCTCTTTCTGATGATGTATCTTGAAGGTAGGAGAGCTTTTGAAAAACTACAATTGTCTTTGGTGTTGACTTTTGATAGCAGGCTGTTTTGATATGTGTCATGTGATATGTGATATGTGTGCTGATCAATGCAGAAGAATGGATTACTCTAATGACAGAAATGAGCAGGACAACAAGCTAAAAGCTAAAGTTAACAAGGAATGTAGATACTAATCTCGATTTAGGTTTTGTTTGGTTGACCAAGTTGAGAATTACACTAATGCTGAATGAGTTCTACTTATTAATCTGTAGCTCAGGGGTTTATGCTATTAGTCACGATTGGTTGACACCACAGGGATTCCCAGTGGTGGTATGATGTATTTGCGAAATGCATTCTGGGTATCATAGTGAAAGAACATTTAAAAAAGAAAATGAAGAGGCTGAGGGATTTAATGCTGCACTGCAGAATATTGCAATTACATGACATATTAAACTCTACTTTTACGCTGGAATTTCCCATTAAGGTTACTTTAAAAGGTTTACAGAAAACATTTGTTTTAACTCAACTGAGTTGTACCTGAGAAGAGAAGAGAAGAGAAGAGAAGAGAAGAGAAGAGATAAATCAGTTAGAGGAAGTTAAAGAAGCAAATAAACAATTGTTTTCTATAATTTGAAAAACCTGACAAGGTTTTACAGTGTGCTGTAAGTGGCTAATGGGAAAAATATGCAGACAGCACTTCTACATTCATGTGAAGAAGTAAGCACAACCCAAGCATGTTGATAGACAAATGTGATATAAATGTCACACATAATGAATTAAAATGAACATTTTTAGAATTCTTTATATAACTGAAATAAACAGAAATGCAATTTTCTTATGTGGATAGGTAACATAACACTGTTTGTAATATATGTGTCAAATTGAAATCAGGTGCAAGTGGACCTTCCAGTAGGATAATGATCCCAAACATACAAGTAAATCAACGAGGAATGACTGAAATAGAAGAAATGGGGGATTATGCAATGGTCTAGTCAAAGCCCAGATCTGAATCCCATTAAATTCTAAGGGTGGTTTTGAAACAGGCTGTACATGCAAGAATCCCTTCAGACATTGTGTAATCGAAAGAACTCTTCTTGGTGAATGGGCTAAAATGTCTCCCAGTAGATGTCTGAAGCTGGTAGACAGTTATAGGAAATGGCCACATAAAGTTGCTTCTGTACCAGTTACTGAAGCCAGGGGTGTACTTACTTTTTCAACAGAAAAATTACATTGCAGTCATTTTTTTTTAATAAATGATTACAAAGCCAAATTTCAATTGTTTTTTTGTTCGGTTATATAACATTTATCTATACATACTGTTTGACTGACAATCAAATACTGTGTCCACAAAGAAATTTCATGGGGTGTACTTAGTGAATTCTGCATCCATTGTGAACACAGGCATTTAACTCACTCATAGCTTGCATAATTCTCATAGATAAGCATTGACCAATAGAATGGGATGCTTTGGAGCAGCTGCATATGAGCCTAAGGTCACCATGCTCAATGCCAAACATCAGCTAGAGGGGTGTAAAGCCCCCCAGCATTGGGGGGTGGAGCAGTGGGACTGCGTTCTCTGGAGTGAATGAACTTCATCCAATACCTCTGGGATGAGTTGGAGTGTCCAGAACTGATCATCCAACATCAGTACCTGAGCTCACTAATGCTTTTGTGGCTGAATGCAACCTGATCCCCACAGCAATGTTCTAACATCTAGTGTAAAGCCATCCCAGAAGATTAGAGGCTGTTACTGCAGCAAAGCGCAACAAACTCCCCATTAACACCCCTGATTTCAGAGGAACCGCTAGAGGAGCAGGTGTCTACAGACTTTTGGACATATAATGTAAGGGTCTCTGTGGAGAGATAGATGGCCAAAGATGTCTGATGATATTGTCCTTCTAAGCAGTGTGGTGAAAACATAACGTAGTACACCCATGAATGAAGCCCATGCTAATACACAAAAGCTCTCAGTGACCAATCAAAAGTGAGTATTTGCCAAAGCTAAGGGATTAAAAAATTCCAAGCCATCTGTGCCTTATTTCTGTTTAAGACAACTTTTCATTCCTTTCACTAAAATTGTGTGTACATTGTCCATGAATGAATGCATTACCCTGTATTACTTTGCTGCTTGTGCAGTCTACTAACTCCTTTTTAATATGAATGATGTGAGTGGAACCAGGGACATGCAGACAGACTTCTGTTCACTCTCTGAATGCTAAATGCATACTGCTGAGAGTCTTTTAAAGGTTGCTGGAAATACAAAACAATAAGCCAAAGAGTCACCATCATTCATTTATTCAATATCCAGTCAAAACAACCATGGCTATGGCAGTGCTAAACCTAACTACGACTGAGCTAAACTCAACTATGGCTGAACTAAAGATGGCTATGACTGAGCTAATCCTGGCTATGACTGAGCTAAACCCCACTATGACTGAGCTAAACTCAACTATGACTGAGCTAAATCTGGCTATGACTGAGCTAAACCTGGCTATGATTGAATTAAACCCAAACATGACTGAGCTAAACCTGGCTGTGACTGAATTAAACCTAACTAAGACTGAACTAAACATGGCTATTACTGAGCTAATCCTGGCTATGACTGAGCTAAACCCAACTAACACTGAGCTACACCCAACTATAAATGAGATAAACCTGGCTACGACTGTATTAAACCCAAATATGACTCAGCTAAACCTGGCTATCACTGTGCTAAACACTGCTATGATGGAGCTAATCCTGGCTATGACTGAGCTAAAACAAACTATGACTGAGCTAAACATGGCTATGACTGAGCTCAACCTGACTACGACTGACCTAAACCCAACTATGATTGAGCTAAACCCAGCTTCAACTGAGGTAAACTTGACTGAACTAAACCCAGCTATTACTA